AAATGTCTCGCCTTCTTTCTTGCCTCCCTGTAAAAAACTCTCCCCTCTGTTTATCACCACTATTTTTGCTAACCCTGTGTACTCTCTTTCTCTCCTATCTTCATAGCAGAGCTCAGGGGATGTTTAAGCTATTGCTAAGTGTGATTTTTTTTTTTTTTTTTTTTTCCTTCTGCCTCGCTAACAGCTGCTCGCAGTGTTGTATCCTGAGTGATGATGAGGTTCTGAAAGTGTTTTTTTGGAACAGATGGCCAGGAGAGAGCCGGGGAATGTGCCAGCAGCGAGCTGGGGAATGCGCCAAGTCCTGCAGTGACTGAGTACTCCGGGTTCCAGCTCGCGTGCCTTTCCCCTGCCCTCTGCCCCAAGTGGCGCCAGCAGGACTTCCCAGCTCGCGCTCCGAACATCTGGAGTCTGCGACTGCCAGAAGAGCCGGGACGGGGGGAGGATGAAGCGAAGAAAAAAAATAAAATAATAAATCCCTCACCCATCCCTCCCTGCTCCGGCTCAGCTCCCATGGCCGCGGCGATGCTGCTGCCTAGCACGAGGGCTAATCAAAAGCACAGAGGGGAAGGGAAGGAAAAGAAAATGAACCCTGTGATGGGAGTTTGGGGTTTGTTTGCTTTTTTTTTTTAGCGTTTGGGGTTTTCTGTTCAGCGGTGGGTGCTGGGTGTGCTGTACAGGGGAGCTGTTAGCGGTCGGATCCTGCTCGGTATAGACCAAAGGGTTGTGGTTGTGCTGCCCCGCAGCCCTGAGGGTCTGATCCTGTGGGGCTGGGGGTGTGGGGGGCTGTGGAGCACAGCTCTGCACCCACAGGAACACCAGTCTCCAGGGAGAGCACCGGGGCACGTACACTAAAGCCCTAACCCTACCCTGAGCTGTAACGCCGCCCTCCTGCAGGGCACCAGAATTTGACCCTGGGGGAAAAAAGGCTTTAACAAGAGACTGCAAACAGCAGGCTGGACCCCAAACCCTACAAAATCTGTTGAGAGGCTTTCAGGTGACCTCTGGCCACTCAGGATCACGTCCCTGCAGAAACAACATATGCCAGGGATAAGGAAACTGAGACTCTTCTTTCTGATCCACCTCCTTTCGCTGTCACGTCCTCAGCACTGTCAGAGGATGCTCTGGGCGGGAGCAAAGGTAGATCCCCCTTTCTCTCAGGACATCAGTAGGGCTCAGCAGGACTTGGGGCTCTGCTGAGGGGGTCACAACCCAGATCTCAATGTGGTGCAACCCTTGCGTGCATAGTGAAGAGCAAGGCTTAGTCCAGATCACTTGTATAACCAAGCAAAAGGCAGCTTTAGAAAATGAAGACTATCAGCAGAATTCATCACTCCCTCATGCAGCATTTTTTTTTTTTTTAAGGGAAAAGTCATCTGAAGCCCTTCAATTAGCCCCTTCGCCATTTATAAATGAGATCTCCCATCACCAAACACCCTCAGTCAAGTCCCAATTGCAACAAAAAAAAATCACCGTACAACTGCAGTTAGGACTGGAAAGGGGATTTTTTTTTCCTGAGTCAAGTTTGAAAGGCTAAAGTCAACTTTTCTAATTAACAAAACGGAGTAGAAAGGGGGGATAAAAACACCCATTAAATTTCCTACTGCAACAGCAAAGTCTGAACAACCTAATGTTAGGGATAGCAGACAATTTGCCCTCAAAAACAAAGCAAACGGCAACACACAATCCAGCAAACGCAACATCTGGAGCCCTTGCCTGCCAAAACAAACTCCAACCAGCTACTTTTTTGTGTGAAAAGCTCACGGTGCCATAGCACATCGCAATCGGAGAGCTGAGAGAGCGAGCGATAGAGGCAGAGACACAATAAAATTGAGATGACAGGAGATAAGGGTGCTGTGGGTCCAACTCCAGGAGTGGAGGTCTGCATTCAGGCTTGCTGTGATTATTCTTTTTTTGAGAGAGAATAAAAAAGGAAATCTAAAAGCAACAACAAAAATACCAACCACCCCAAAGTCAATAATTCAGAGGAACTGCTCAGCTAGCAGTGGTTTTGGAGACCTGATTAAAAACACACACAGCTTAGAAAAACGTGCCTATTTCAAAATTAATGAGGGCGCGGTGATTTTGGGCCAAGCCATTGTATCCTCATCCAGCCGCCCGTGTGAGACCCCCCAGGAGAGACATCCCTTCACACCACCTGACATCCAGAGCTCGGATGTTCCCTGCACGGCCATCCCGGATCTATAATTTCACTCTGACAACAGCATTTCCATCCCTTGTGCTCACAATGACATTGATTTGCTTGGTTCATGGAGAAAGGGAGATACCAAGATGAGTCCTCCCAACCAGGCTTTGCATCTCCATTCCTATCTACTGGGAATTATTGGTGTTACTTAGTGGTACCTACTGGTTTTGGCTTCATCACCAGATGAATGTGCTTTTGCCATCACCTGAGAAAATACAGCTGAAAATAAAATGATACCTATCAGCCAGGGGAATCCACAGGCTCTTGGGCTGCCCTAAACTTGGACTTTCCCAAATAGCAGAAATGCATTTGGAAGACACTTTCCAGAAAGAAAAACAAGGCAGAGCAGGGACCAGGTAAAAAGCCCAACTTTCTTTTTGGAGAAGGCCTTTGGAGAAGGCTTAGGGTGGGTGTCCAAGAATGTGGAGAAAAGGCAGATTTTCTCCTGGTGATGCTGTTTCTGTAGATTGATGGTGGCTCGTTGGGAGGCAGGATGTGCTGGTGCCCCGTGAGAGTTTCATTGTTCACGCGCTCTTAATGGGTTTGGGGCTTTTCTCCACGGGTCCGCTCTGGAGCGAACTTCAGAGAAAAAATGCCATAAATGGAAGGCTTTTAATTCTTAATTTATTTTTTTTTTTTTAATTAAGGATGGGACAAGCCCTAACCCTCAGATGTGAACACCCTGGGATTTAGAGCCATTTGAAATCTGGCTCCGTGTTTTCTGTCTTTAAGCTCATATTGGTTGACATAAGCCAAGACAATGGGTTTCAGTCCATTGGGCACCCAAAGCCTGAACACCAGCCCAGAAATCTGCTGAAGCCCCAAGAAGGATGCTCACCCTCTTCTTCCCCCACATCTTGGCTTGGGAAGGGGACCTAAGCAACCAACCAGCAATCTGCCAAAGCCCCCAAAAGGATGTTCATCCATGTTCTCCCCCATCCTGACTTGGGGAGGGGACCCAAGACCCAAGTCTCGCCTCGCCTTAGCGCTGGTGGCATCACATCAGCGTCCCTGGCACTGCACTGACTGCAGCACTACAGACCCCACACTGAACACCTAATTTCAGGCCATGCCCAGAAGCTCCCCCCACAATTCCCAGTTTCAGCTGGTGGTGCTGGCTGTGGGCGAGCGGTGCTGTGTCTCTGCCTGGCACTGCTGCTCCGGGGGCATAAATACAGCCCGTGACAGCAAGAGGAAGCGACAGGGAGTGTGCTATTGTGTTTATTTATAAACTGAATTTCTGCAGGATGATTTGTTGGGCTAAAGAGGAGGAAAACTGAGGAAACCTGCCCGAATCGGAGGCAGATCTTAACGACACCGGGGAAGGAGCCTGCTCCCCGGCTTAGCTGCCCATTCATCCATTAAAATCCCACTGATTTATTATCCCGCCTGACAAGCGAGCCCAGAAAGCAGGGGGAAGTTCAATTCAAGTTTACAAAACTCTTTTTGTCATAAAAGCCTGAACAAAGACATCAATCACTCCTTTAATTCACCCACGTCACTCTCTGAGAGGAAAACTGGCAGAACGCTCTGCTTCCTCCTCCCGCCGCTTGACGATGATTTCACCTAATTGGTTCAGTGTTAAGTAACCTAAAGGAATGCAAGGCGTAATTAGATTTAACATTGTTTCCTCAAGATACCCACATGTCCTTCAGGTCATACATCTTACTAATGTGTTTATACATACAATGTCTCCATTAGCTACTTTTTTTTTGTTGTCGGGTGATTTTTCTCGGAGATAAGTGTTAGCTTAAACAAAACAGAAAACACAGGCGGGCGACCGTGTTTTATGGGCTCCAAAAGGCGACTTGAGGTTGGTTTGGTTTAACAAATAACAGCCCCAAGATGACTCTAATAGGATCATGCTCGCGTTAAAACACACGATGGGCGACTAACGAGAGGAAGAGCCCAGCTCGGAGGATGGGGAGGAGAGAAAAGCTTTTGATTAGAGAGGAATGCGGTTATTACAAGATCAGAGGGATGGAGGAGAAAAAGCAAGAGAGAAAGGCAAGGGATAAAAAAAATCAGGAAAATTTCAAGAGGCTGAGAAAGGAAGGAAACCACTTTGGATTATTTCTTTTTTTTTTTCTTTTTTTCCCCCTCTTTTGTAACTTTTACAATGATTTGGGGGGTGGTGAAGGGGGTGGCTGTAACATACCTTCCTTTTTTTAGATCTTCCTTCTGCTTGTAAGGTCCTAGTGCACTGCTCCACGCATTCGGAGAAGCTCATGTTACTGTGGTCAGCGCTGTAATCCAGGTCTGCTAGTCTGGCCAGGGAAAGGATATAGTTACAGGCTATTCTCAAGATGGCCAGTTTGGACAACTTTTGACCATAAGAATAGCAGGGAACCTAGAAAGGGTAACAGGGAAAAAAAAAATAAAATTAAAAATTAGGCCAGAAAAACAAAATATCTTGCTTGAAGCATGACAAAACAACTGTAAGTTATTTTCTTAGCAGTTTTTAACATAAATAGGAACTCTAGCGATAAAAGGCCATATGGTCCCAACAGGTTTTTAAGAAGAACTCCCCCCGCTGATCTCCGTGGGGATGAAAGCAGCATGAAGCCTCTTGATTTCAGCGGGGCAGTTCTGCTTAAAACATGATGGCAGGATATGGCCTGGGATGTCTGCCTGCCGTTCGATTCGCTTCTCGGAGGCCTTTTTTTTCTCAGAAACCTGCAAGCCCCATGCCACCCAGTTACTCGTCTTGAGTAACTTACTCCCTGCAAGTAGCTCCGATGCCCTCACTGGTCTTGCAGGAAAAGGCAATAAGGGGACAAATATACCACAACCTGGTGGTTTTGCACTCAAACAGCATCGACCATGACTTCCAGCCTGTGCAAAACCTCGGTGCTGTTGTAGGAGCAGGACCTGGAGACAGTAACTCCTACCTGCTGAAACACCCTGTTGTGGTGCCTCACCTCCCAGAAGAGACCAAACCAGAGGTTCAGGGCCCCAGCCATATCTTATGCAATTTATTTCTTTACCCTTGAAGACTTCTAGTGTAATGTGAAACATTCAAACAATTCAACCTGAACAGTAGGTGTCTAAACAACTGCAGAGTATATGTTTCCTGCTGCAGAGGGTTTGATTGCTTTTCGATCGCGATCCAGCAAAACACTACATATATGCTCAATTTTAGGCACACAACTTCGACATGTCCAGCTTAAAGAGAGATCTTCTTCCCAGTTCAGTAGGCTTGGGGATCCATTTGCTATTTTGCAAAACTGCTAAAGGTCATTCAGCCTTTAACGCACAAGAGTCTATCGCCTACAGGAAACTGGAGCCGGGCGTTTATCTGAAATCCATCCTAGCCACCCAGGTTGTCTGACCACCCATCAATCTAAGTTTTCATACTACACCAATCACTGGAATGCCTCAATGTTCCTCTATCATCTGCCTCCACACCAGTCTGCATCCTCCTCATCCCTCTAGGGTGTCACGCTCTGCTTAGGGTTGGAGATTTTTTAACGCTTCTGGCCATGCTCATGCTTCAGCTTCTCTTTTCTCCACAGAGACAAAGCTGGAGAAATGTCCCTGACTTTACATGAGGTAAAATGGGTTCACCCCCTCCACAAACCCCACAGTGGCCATTTGCAGATGCCAAGGGAAGAGCAGAACAGCTCAGGCGTATATAGGATTTCCCCAAGTATTCTGCCAGGTTCCAACTGATGTCAGCTCCACGACATCAGCTAGATGTGCCTTCCTCGTATTTAGCAACCCATGACAGACTTTTTTGTCCATGAATTTGGTCTGGTAAGCTGAACCCCAGTCAATTTTGAGCATCCACAACATCCTTTTGCAAAGTTTTTTCCCCGGTCTATATAACACTGCCCTCCTTTTGCTTGTTTTGAACTTACTCCTGTCTGCACCTGAGGTCACAGAGTTTTATTCACCTCCTCTGTGACACACATTTTCAGTCCTCCATCATCTCTTCAGCCTCTTTTCCAGAAGAAAAAGAACAAACCTTCTCAGCAGACAGTTTTGTGGAAACCATCCCATACCTTTGATGACCCTTGCTGCTCTTCACTGAACTTTTCCTAGTCCTTGTGAAGCTAATAGGATCAGAACAACACAGTATTCAAGTTGTGGGTGCTCTGTGTATTATCTAACAGATGTTTATGTTCTCTGTTTTTTTTTAATATTCCTTTTCATGTAACTCCTGATTTGATTTGTGACCACTTGCAGGCACTGACCCAACACTTCCATCGAACCATCTACAGAAACCCTGAGGTCTCTTGTCACTGAGATAATGGTCTGCTCAGGGTCTATCATTTCATATGTGGAATCTGGTATGGTTTTCCCCATATGCATCACTTTATCTACACTGTATTTATTTCATCTGCCATATTATTACCTAGTCACTCAGAGTCAGAAGGTCCCTCTGCAATTCTTATCTTTGCCGCCTTTAGCAACTATCAGTACCTTTTGCTGGAGTACTGCCAACAAATTTCCTATCGCGCTGCTCAGGAGCAGCTCTGCCATAATACTTATGGAAATCCAGACCGACTGCAACCAGCTGGATCACCCTTATCTACAAGCACATGGATTTTAATGCTGTTAACCCTGTGGGCCATTTCATTTGTCTTGTATGACACAGTTGAGGTGCCCAGAAGTATCCAACCTCTCCAGGAGAAAGCCAATGCACTTCAAACCTTGTATACACATCATTTGCTACTGATAACCCTGAGAAGGCAGGGAATCTATTTATTCTCCTTCTCCCAAGTCACAGGCGACAGGACTAGAGCAAACAGCCTCAACTTGTGCCAGGGGAGGTTCAGGTTGGATATTAGGAAAACTTTTTACACAGAAAGGGTTATCAGGCATTGGAATGGGCTGCCCAGGGAAGCAGTTGAGGCACCATCCCTGGAGGTATTTTAATGACGCGTTGTCATGCGGCTGTGGGACATGGTTTAGTGATGGTTTTTTGGTCAGAGTTAGGTTGATGGTTGGACTAGATGACCTTGAAGGTCCCTTCCAACCTAGATGATTCTGTGAATACCCAGCGCCATGACCACATTCACCTCTGGGGACCGTTGCATGGAGCAGAAACTTCTCTGCTTCTAACAGACACCCAAAAGGCACAGAGCCACTTGCAGGCCCCTCCTGCTGGCAACAGCCCTAGGCGTCACACGGCATTTGAGAGACACCTGTAAGACCCTCTTGGCAAAGCTGGCGGGCAAGGAAATGTTGTCCCCATCGCTCCAGCATAAATTAGAGGGGTAGCTGGAAATGGCTGGAGTCTGGTGGCACAAAGGGCCTCTTCTTACCCTACAAAATCTCTCTCCAAATCCATGCCTGCAATTCTTTGCTGGCATTATGCACCCGCCAACAGCGCTTGCCCTCAGACCCTAATACCTGGCCCCCAGATGCAATAAGCTGAGAGTTACTTTGAAAGGAAGAGCTTTGGGCAGCAGAAACACCCAAGTCGCTTTTGACGCCAATGTAACAAGAACAGTGGAGATCCCAGATCAAACAGCAGCGCAGAAGACCAAAGCAAGATGGAAACTAAAATGGAAGGATTCAGTGAAATGTGGGAATAATTTCAGAATTAGAGCAAGAAGGAAGTTAAATCGAGTGGAAGGAAAATAGACCACGAAATCCTTGAGGCTGATGCACAGACACTGTCTAGTTACAACACAAGAAGGCAGGCTAATGTCTTTTTTCCTCATCTGTTTTGCTCTTTCTTTTGTATTTTGTTTTTATTAAAAAAAAAAAAAAAAGAAACAAAATAAAACCCAAACTGTTTTGTAGGACGTTTGCTACAAATTCCAAGAAGGATCTCAGTACTAACACAGTTGACAAAACCCTCGACTGGGATTACACAACACTTTTCCCACATGCTGCAGCAAAGTCCAAACTGGAGCTGCCCCGTGTGTCCAGGGGAAGAGGTTCACCTTGAGCAGCTCAGATAGCACTGCCATGGGTGCAGGGCATCAGCATTAGGAGATAAGGGTTTTTGCCATGGTAACAGTGTTAGAATAACTGTTTTGTAGGAACCCTCCCTGTCTTGGCTCAGCTCCTGCCATTTTAATGTTTCCTTTTGAATTAAACATGGGAAATTGAGAGAGGAATGAGCCACTTAGTTCAGATCCAGATCCAAAGCTTCCATAAGCAGGGGCAGGGGGGCAGGGAAAAAAATGAACTTTGGTTTTACCCCTTTTTTAACATAAAGTCAGCAGGGAAGAGGGGACAGATTTGCACAAGCTAGAGTGAAGGGTGTTGATGACACACCTGGATGCCAAGAAATCTTCAAAATCCAACCCAAAAGAGAGCGAGCATCTTAGAAATGGGAAAAAAATCCCAATGCTGGACCCTCCCAGCTCCCATGGGGTCTATGGATGGGATTTTCAGCAGGAGGCAAAGCGAGCAGGCATCCATCATGCTCCTGGTGAGCACCAGACCCTCTCCTTCTGCAACCTTCTTGCTCATCATGCCTGAGCCGAACAGACATCAGTGCTTTGGTGGGACAGCTGTGAAGACAGAAGCTGAGCAGGTCTGTTCAGAGCCAGAGGGAGCCAGGGGAGAGCTCAAGTTCCCGTGCAGTTAATGAAAATATTTCCCTTATCTGACCTCACTGGTTTCTGCCGAGCGGCAGCGCAGCTCACCATCTTGCCTGCAATATTTGCAATGATTAAAAGGAATTAGGAAGGAACTGCAACTGAAATTTCACACCGATCTGAAGGAATGCAGCTGCCTGCTAGAAAGGAAAGGATACTGGCACTATCCTCAGCTTCGGGAGATCAGCACGGCAGTGGGCTGGGACCAGCAGGAACCAGAGCTTCAGCCAGAGGATGTTTGTTGGTCGTGTTTGCGAAAGGCTCTGCAGAGTCTCATGGGCCTTATCAGTGATTCCCAGCCTGGCAGTGGCTTAAGCAATGCAAGATGAACGCTCTTGAGACATATTCCTGTGCAGAAGAGCCTTCTTTGGCAGGAAGATAGGACGGGATATGACCTAACAGGTCTTTTCCATCTTTGACGTCTGCGATTCAGAGGCAGCGCCCTTGGAAGACCAAAGATGCTCCCTTTGAAGTCCGTGGGAAGTCTGCTGCACACTTGACCAGACCAGTTCTCGGCCCACAGCCAGCCCTCTTGAGGAAGACAGGGCTCCACTGCAGCTCCCCAGAGGGTCACTGTCATCAACCAAAGACACGGTCTTGGAGCCGATTCTCAGCCAGGAGAGGAGACTGTGGGATGACGCTGGGGAACAACTCGAGAAAAAGATGGGTGAAAGGGGACAATAAGCACCCCTGCCTGGTGAGGGTGCAGGGTATGCTCACCAGGATGGTTCTGTGGGGAACAGCCAGGAGCACCCCATGGACTTCAGGAGCATTAAGACAGTTCACACCA